ACCTGACTGGCGTCTGTCAATCGAGACATTTGACTTCGTGTGCTTTAATGTCGTGCGTTATTAGAATATAACTGATCCGAACATCATCATCAACAGTGCTTGGTATCTGTGAAAAACCGAATGGGATAATCCAAACATTGGCCGTCTGAAATGACTGGTCTGTTGTTGAAACTGGGCTGAAGAAAAGTGTCTCGAGTGGCCTAATTGATGGTCACACATTAACACCAAAATTCAACGGATATGTTCATACCAGACTGCCAGCTGCAAACAATTCCACGTCAGGTAATAAATATCCCGCACCTTTATGTCTTCAGTTGGATTGTTGTCTTTTGGAAACTTGCTGCCACAAGAGTGAGAAAAAACAGAAGTAGACCAAAATTCTCAGAAAAATAGTTCGTATCAAGATGGTTAACGCGTGTCTTGGTTTATGGCATCCAATCCTGTCTGCTATACTTAGAATAACTATTGGAAAGTGATTATCCGTTTTCTTAAATATTATTAGATTTCGTGGTATTTTCTTACAAGAAGTGTCTTCAATAGTACCGCTTTCATGTACTGTTTCATGTACTTTTTCAAGAGAGACTGGGGGAGTGTGCATTGAGTTGTTTATGTTTATTGAAATATTTCCATCCAAATTACTGCTCGTTATTTCAAGCGGTATCAGTTCTTGTGGAGAAACCGGACAAGCATTACTGAGGTTAGGTATAGAGTTTTAAGTAACCGCGGTCACCCACTGGAGCAAGTGGTCGACATCCATAGACTACGTTGATTGGGACGTGTGACGCACGTTACCAAACAGGCTACCACGGCTTGTGATTTTTGCTGAGGCAAGTAATGGGTGGAAAAAAGCTAAGGGTGGTCAATTTAAAACCTGGTATGAGGGTATCAAAACCCTAGTGGCGAACCACTTAAGGCCCCACTGTGTCAGGCGTGGTATAGAAGCGGGCGATGGCAAAGCTGCCTACCACCAAAGTTGGGTGGCGAAAGCGGATTTCGAATCTCGGACCACTGGGCCCAAAGCACGCCGGTGACAACGACTAAACCACTGCGTCACCAACACCGAATAGTCAACCTCAAATTGAACGCTAGTCTATGTCCTCAGCCTTATTCCTTTCCTCTTTATCCTGCCCATTGTCTCGGGTGTTGTTTCCGCCCTCTACACCTATGATTCTGGTTACTTAGAGTGTTCTTCCGATTCACTGCTACTCCCCCTCCATGACCTCTTCGGTAAATATGCACTGCCGAAAATCCATCACGACGAGACTGCACCTTGACGTGGTGTGATGGCTTGCGTGCCTCCATGACTCTGCGAGCTACACAGGATGGCTTTTCACAACCGTAGATCCAATCATGCCTGAAAGATCAACGGGTAGAGGCCAGACGAAGACCAGTCTCACAAGGCCAGCTGCTTGGTGTCTGAAAGGTCAACGGGTAGAGGCCAGACGAAGACCAGTCTCACAAGCCAGCTGCTTGGGCACCCCCTTGGTTCCTTTCCTATCCACAACCGCCCCTGGAAAGGTCACTCCAGTAAAAAAACACGGTGAGGGGCAGTCTACCGGTCAAAAAACCCCGCTAGATGGACGTAGGAGCTGGGTACCTGGGGCTTCCTCTCGACGGTGGG